GGGCACGGCCGAGATGTCTCGGCCACAGCCGAGATTGGCAGGCACTACCTGGCACTACCCCTCATAGGTGAACGTGAAGTCTCAAGAGTAGACTACTCCGAAGAAGTGGGGGGCTCGGGGCAGGGATGGAGGCCAAAAAGAAAAAAAGAAAAAGAAGAAATAAAAAAAGTAAAGAAACGAGGAACTTCGAATCCACCTACGTCCGGAAGGCCCTCACGTCAGCAGTGCTTTGAGGAATGTATCTGGCCAGGAAGTGAGGAACATGAAACAGGTAGTTTTTGTTTTTTGTTTCTTGTTGTGAGGTCCCTGTAGTGCTCTGCCAGCCAGGCAGGGGGGATTCCACCCTTCATTGAGTTCCAGACAAGTACTGTAGCATCCTGTATCGGACCGCAATCACAGCATAAGGGATGTTTTTTCTTTTTTTCTGTTTATCTGCTGTTCATGGATAGAGGAGGGGCCTGACTGAACTGCATACGGCCTAGTTTCAACTGCAATTGAAACTCGGACCCTGACTAAACTGCAATTGAAACTGGGACCCTGACTAAACTGCTAAAACCCAGTTTCGAATGCAATTACGAACTGTTTTGGTGACTGCGCCGAAGTCACCCCTTATTTTTAATTACAGCGACTCTGCCTGATCAATGGTCCACACACCAATCAAAGCTACCAGGGATCGCGATCGCGACAGACACTAACTATACATGAACATACTGAGCAGGGCAACGACGCAATCACCACGACGACATCGGCATAATCCGAACAGCCCCCTCGAAAAAAAAATGTCCTCGGTTCGTCACAAACCAATCAACGCTTCCAAGGACTGCGATCGCGACAGAAACACCAATCAACGCTTCCAGGGATTGCGATCGCGACAGAAATTCACTAAAGACATAAACAGAAACATACGGACCAAGGGAACGACGCAATCAATCAACACCCTCGCATCGGCATAATCCGAACAACCCACTCCAAGAGAGGCATAAACCGAACAACCCACTCCAAGAGAGTCCTCGGTTCGGCGCGAACGGTAATCAACGCTACCATGGATAGCGATCGCGACAGACACTGACAATCCAGACACACAAGGATCGCGATCGCGACAGACACTCACTACAGATAAACATACGGACCAGGGGAACGCCGCGCCGCAATCAATCAACACCCTCGCATCGGCATAATCTAACGACCCACTCGAAGAAAAGAGTCCTCGGTTCGACACAAACCTCGTTGTAGAGGGAAGTTCAATGGAAGCTTAAACTCTTAATAGGTACTCCCACTTGAGACATGGGGTACAACCGCCAACTCCAAAAAAGAGAGAGATTCTTTGATAGATAGCTCTCCCTCCCTCTCCCAGGGCGAGATCCCACTGACGAAGAGATTGGCTTGAAAACGGGAATCTGGACGCGTTTGTGGAGACGTGCAGACCCTTGCAATTGCTCTGCATTTCTGCATCTGGACATAAAACACATCCAGATTCAGGTGCTTCGTCCAATTTTCTTGCCTGATGGGATCTCACCCTCACTGTTACAGCCCAGTACAGTAAATGCCCTCCACTTCTTTTCTCTTTTCAGACTTATTTTATTCTATTTTGGTCGTCTCATTGTCTCTTTGGGTCTGTATTTCAACAGTTCGTGGCTGTACCGACTGAGCTGACTCGTTGCTCTGCGCTCCACTTCAAGAAATCGCTATATCACGAAAAACAATCCATTCCAAAAAACAAAAAAAAATCAAGAAAAACAATCCATTCCAAAAAAAAAAAAAAAAGAAACAAGAAAAACAATCCACGCCAAGAAGAACCAAGTCCAACAAAGTTCGGACCAAGCTTTCAACCGCTTCTCTCCACACCAAACGTCTCGAATCCACCGAGTATAACTCTACGCCGAGGAGTCGAGGACATAAACACAAAGCTCTATGCCAAGGACATAAACAATTATTAATCAGATACACAAAATAAATAAATTAGACTAACTTAACATAAAATAAAGTGTTCTGACACAGATATACGAACAGCGCAGCGGAATATAAACAATTATTAATCAGATACACAAAATAAATAAATTAGACTAACTTAAAATAAAATAAAGTGTTCTGACACAGATATATGAACAGAGCAGCGGAATATAGGGGGAAAAAAAAAAAAATACAGGGAAAGGGAAAAGAGTCTGAAAGTTCTCGCTCTAGTAACCCGGCGGAGTCAAACGCCGCGCCTGCAAAGCAACGTACTTATTCACGATAGGACTCCAGTGAAGGAAGGGCAACTGGCGAAGAACAGGCACACGCTCACTATTGGCCCGTGGGGCCCTCTTGGGGGGATCCGCTGATTTGACCGCCGATCTTCCTGATCGACGGTGAAAAATGGAGAATTCGTGTATAGAGAGTGGGACTTGATACCGGAACCAATGCTAACAAAGTATAGGAGGGACAAGCAACATACAGTACTTTCAATGCCGTCCACATCTGAGAACCGACGAAAGGGGAAAAAAAAAAAAAAAAAAAACGATACTTACCAACCCAAAGGAATCACCAGCAAAAAAACAAAAACAAAAACAAAAAAACATACCATCATCATCATATCTGCGGTCCCGACACGGATAAAGGAACTAACCCGGGAACTTATCCACCAGCTAATAGTCACTTCCTCCTCTCACTCCCATCTGTTACGCTCACACTCACACTCACACTCTCGTCTGTCTAGTTGTAGTGTAATTGGCCGCGCCCTGCCCCCGACGAGAGATTGACCGTGTGGATGTTGACGAAGTAGGAGCTTGGATCTGCAGCGATGGCGGCGATGACATCGTTCTCGAGGTCCACGGCACCTTGAAGAGTCGAACCCTTGAAGTCGGTGAAGAGCGTGGCCAGCACCCCGCCGTCTACCCCAGCCTTCCCTTCGTGGAGATGTGCAACGGTGATGAGCTCATCGAATCCTGCCGCCGCCTTGAAGAGGAACCCAACGTACCCCTCCGCCAAGGTCAGCTCGAAGGTCGATCCCAGCGACCCCACTTTGGCCTTAACAGGGGGCACCTCCAGCTTCGGGTCCAGAGTGGCCGAGACCACGACGTCGGTTCCCAAGAGTCCCACCTTGACACCCTCCGTGGTGTTCAACTTCAACGCGTGCTTGTGCGGCGCCGAGAGCAAGCTGAGAATCGAGTCCAGCGGAGGCGTCACAGCGCCAGAAAGCGCGGGAAGAGCAGCGGAGGCACCGCCGAAGAGCGCGATTGCCGAAGAACCCGTGAGAGGCGCCGGCGCCGTCGAGTTTGCCCCGCCCGCGACCGGGGCAATCTCCGCAGAGATCAAGCTGCCGTTTTTCACGCGAACCAGTCTATACGACAGCCTGATCGTGTCAATTACCAGGCTGGCGAAGCCGCCGTCTGCTGCTGACGAAGCATTGGCGGGAGCCAGGGATGCATAAAGAGCGACGTTTACGCCGAGAGTGCCGGTCAACGTGAAGCTACCCGCCGCCACGCTTGAGTTCGAACGAGAGGAGTTCGTTGTCGTCTGCTTCCCGCCGTCCAAGACCAAGTGATAGCCCAGAGGAGCATAGGCGATGGCTCGAGCAACCTCGAAGTCTGCCAGCTTCGCCCTTCCTTCCCATTGCGAGGAGGAGGAGCCGTTGGCCGCCGGGAAAGCCACCACAACCTCACCGCCCGTGCTGCCTGGCAATCCCTTGAGAATACGCAAGGTCACCGCCTGCTGCGAGACGTTGGCACCGTAAACGTCGGGCTTGATGACGTAGGAAACCTCGCTCGTCTCCGGATGCAGCTGAACCAGTCCAACGGCTGTCAAGTTGCTCGAGTTCGAACTCATCACGCTCAGAAGGGTGGCCACGAACGGGCAGGTGTTGCCCCAAATGCAGGTCGGCTTGCAGTTGTGGATGTACGTCACCGCGCCTGTGACGTTGGGAGAGTACATGGCAAAGAGCTGAGCACCGATCTGATCAGTGCAGTCGCAGAAGTCGTCGGCGATCTGGTACACCTCCATCCGATACTTGTCGATCGCAGAAAGACACGCTGTAGCAGCCGAGGTATTACAGACACCAGAGTAATTCTTGCACGCCGCGAAGACATCTGCCAAAGACGCGTTCTTTGTCGGCGATGGCGCCGATCTGTAGGATGGCGCTGGACTCGAGGGTGGCGCGCGGGAGGCAGACGCTTCGCGTCTCTTCCCCCCGCCAGTCCGACTGGCTTCCAGAGATGATGGAAAGAAAAGGAGACATACTAGTAGGACAACGAACATGAGATGACGGGAGAACGGAGGCACCGATAATCCAGCTGCCACCGCCATAGCCACAGCTGTGAGCCCTCACGATCTTCTCTAACTCCTCTCACAGACTCCACTGGTTTCTGAAAAGAACTCGAGAAGTAGGAGCCTCACTTCCACCAAGGTGCCTCCCGGGTATCGCGCGCGAAGAAGACAGTCAGCAATAACTTGAGATGCGTATTTCTCGCGGTCTTGTGACGCTTTATACTGCTCGCTTTCTTGTCACTCTCTCCTCACTCTCTAAGGTGCGCCACTCGCCATCCGCCTGAATGCGCCTTTCGCGGGTCTCAAGTGGTGCAACGCCCATGCGCCTTCCGGTGGCTTCCCGCGAACGAGTCTTCACAGTCACTCCCTGCCTAGGTGACCTCATGGGCGGGAGCGGTACCTCGAGATACGGCCTTGCTCCACTACTCTCGAAGATGTGCCAAACGAGAGTGAATCTTCTGCTAGAACAAGGAAAGATGCACCGCCATGACTTGTCTTTTGTGCATTTCGAGAGTTACTGCAGTGGAGCGAGGTCCATAGAACGCTGGTGAGAGGGACCGCGAATGTGGGTGCATCTGATGATTTTTAAAAAAAGAAAAGCATCTGATGAATTTTCACCCACCGTTTCGCCATTTTTGTATGTACGCATTGTACAAAAAATGCTGCCAGCGAAGTTCGTCAGTTTTCTTTTCGTTTTTTTTATTCTTTTTTTAAATTCAAGCGGCGTTACTGGAACCGGCCACTCAGCCCGTCCGTGCGGGACCAGCCTGCACCATCACCGAGGTTTTTTCATCATTGAGCTGACCGTCTTCAGGCAATTCAGAAATATTTGGTTTTACTCATCAATCAAGTTCCATCATCTGGATTCGAACTCCCGTCCGTATTTCAACAGTTCATGGGTGTACCCACAGAGCTAGGCTCTTGTTTTTTTGTTTTTTTGAGAAAAGGGTGATGGCCTTGAGATATCATCATCGAGTTGAAGCGCATGCCCTGCGCAAGGATAACACACATAAATAGAGAAACTGTTTTTTTAAAGGGCGATGCACAGGTCTTGGGGAATTTCCATACCCTTGATGATGCCAGATTGAATAGGACAGTCCTGGAGTTGGGGGCTACCCGCCCACACACCGCGGGAAGATCGAGGGTGGGTGGGACCGCTTCGCCAAAATTGGCTAAGGAGAAAATGATTCTCCTCAGACCAGCTGACGATATTGACTGTGTGCCTGCAGATTCGCGTACACGCTCAGTGCTGCTGCGGACGGGCAACAGAGGGAGGTTCAAAGGAAGTCCAGCAGATCCAGGAAGTTCAGCAGCCTGCTTCGACTGCTGCACTGCCAGTAACTTACACCGTTGCGGGCAGTGGGAGCAGTGCCATCCGGGCGGGCGATGTCCAGATGCACCCTGGGTAAGTTCCACAGTCCTTGGTCCCGATCTGAACTCCAGCCGAATGTTCCGCAGTCCTTGGTCCCCATCCGAACTCCAACCGAATGTTCCGCAGTCCTTGGTCCCGATCCGAACTCCAACCGAGTGTCCTGAACGCTTGCTGATGGTGTGGTCCTGAGTTAACTGTCGGTAATGAAGACTGGAAAAATCATGAACCGTAGATCTCGAGAATCCACGGATGCGAAGAAGTCGAGGGGCGGGTCGTAGATAAGTAGAGTCATCTGGGCCTGAAGGGAATGGTTCACCTAACGAAACGGCCTGGTAACTGTCAGTGCCCGGTGATGGCGACCGGGGAGTGGAAAGGCCAACTGCAACTGGTGGTAGAACAATTGCCGGCCTTGTGCAAGGATGACACACATAAATCGAGATTTTTTTTTAATTTTTATATATTATTTTATTTTATTTTTTAATCTAGGGGGGTGGCTGCACGAAAAAGTGCACTACCGGTGAAACGACTATTGCCGACATTTGAGAATGTGGATGTTCATCTTTCTCATGAGGCGCTTACCCTGCCCGGCACCATAGCTGTGTGAGAGCTATGGCAAAAAGTGTCCTGGCGTAGCCTATCTCTTGAGTATGAGTGGGTTAGGGAGCGCCTTTGCGCTCTTATGCCGGGGCACCTTGGCAGCCCTCCTACACCATACCAAACCTATTCGACAAACCATACGAGTACATCATCTGCACCAGATAAGATCTTGAGACCAGAGGGGTCGTCCTCCCCTCAAGCCTCGAGCTCGAGGGGGTACTCCTTTCTCACCACCCAATTGGCGCTTGGTCCCAAGGGAGGAGCCATCACTCTCAGTAACGTCAATCTTCTCAGATTGAGCACCTGCGCTGAAGGATTCGAAGTCAGTTCTCGTTGAAATGGGAGGAAGATCAAAGGCAGAGGCAGTGTAGTGCGAAGTTGCAAACAAGTTCACTAAGACTAGAATGAAGCATCTGATGTCCTACCGGCAACGACGCTACTAGTGGTAAGGAGGAGTTCATTGGCCACGGTGGGAGCGCTTTCTCTGGTACCTAGGGTGCAAAGCGTTAGCTATAGCCTTGAAAAACTCGCTACGCAGTGTAGTGCGAAGTTGCAAATAAGTTCACTAAGACTAGAATGAAGCATCTGATGTCCTACCGGCAGCTGCGCTACTAGTGGTAAGGAGGAGTCCATTGGCCACGGTGGGAGCGCTTTCTCTGGTACCTAGAGTGCAAAGTGTTAGCTATAGCCTAAAAAACTCGCTACGAAATTATTCCAGCTACATGGAGGAAGAATACGGGGAAAAATTATAGAACCTCTCCGCGAAGAAACCTTTGTACTCATTTGCCCTCAAACCGGGAGACCCCAAAATAACGTTTTGTGTTATTTTTGCACCCTTGAAAACAATTTCCTGCCATTTTTGCCAGCGGGCGTTACCGGGCCACCCAGGGTGCAAAAATGACGTAAGACGTCATTTTGGGGCCTGCGCCATTTTTTGCCCCGTTTGTGGGGAAATGAGTACAAAGGTTTTGTCGTGGGGAGGTTATATGACTTTTGCGAAGAATAAGTACCTTTCAATCGCAGAATGTACTGTCAACTGCTTGTTGGCAAGATGCACCGACGAAGGGTAAGATCTCAAGCGTTATGACCCGACTGCTTAAAATCGATATAAAAAGAAGCTTGAAGGCAACATCTCAGGGAGAGCCAAGAAACAAGTCCAAGGTGAACGAATACCTTATGGAACCACATCATGACTACTTTGCAGCGGACCACCTTGGTTTTGAATCTGCTGTAGTGACTGTGGGTTCTTGTCTTATCCACATAAATAGCAGTAAGTGGAGAAAGTCTGGTAATGTTGTATTGTGGAATACTTGAATTTTGGGTTTCAACGCTTGTTCTTGGTTGTTGGGCAGATTCATTCGTTTGTATTCCTGTTCTGCTCCAACATACGGTCCTCAATCTGCAACAAATAAGATGCTGAAGCGGCTTCCTCACTGCTTATGAACATCTGTTGCCTACACAAAGTTTTCGTCATTTCGATTTTCATAACGTTCTGTCGTACGGGACCCTCACCACAGGTTTCAAGTGAAAATCAAGTTGTATTTCCCGCATAGCACCCTTGCCAAGACATTCCTCAAAGTTCAACTACTTTTTTTCCTTAAAAATAAACTAATAACACTATAAGACTCCAAGAGACAGTCGAAAATCTGGTTATACAACGACCTACGAGAAGTCAAGAAGTATAGTAGGGGAATTAAAATAGTTTTCCTATTGATAGACCGAGAGCAGAAGGAAGATCGAAAAACCGACAACAAAAGGAAAATCGACAAACCGAGAATAGAAGGAAGATCGATAAACCGAGAACAAAAGGAAGACACTTGCTCCATGTACAAATTATTACTTGTTACCATCCACCGACTTTAAGTAAACAGATACCCCTTGCAAATTTGACCAATGCAGATCCATATTTTATTTGCAATACTTTCAATCGATCACACAATACTTCCCCTCCTACACATGCTACAAAAAAAAGACTTAACACATTTTCCGAAAGCTTCTAGTTAGCGACACCGATGTCGATCCAAACAAGACACTGAAAACCACAAAATCCTTACGTTGTTCCTTAGTAACATTGCTACCTCTAGAGCTAACAAATTTCTTTTTCTCGCGTTCTTTCTTACATAATTTACATTTGCAATTAGTATTACTTTTACTCTGGTTAATACTATTCAAGAAAGGGCACAAAGAACGAATAAAGAACCGCTCGCATTTTAGTAAATTAGAAGAAGAGGGATGAGCGACCGACACAACCACGTAGTTATCTGCACCATATCTCCTTAACCACCGACACGAAACTGGTTCCTGATTTCACCATCGTTATCTTCGTACAACGTTTATCTAACGTGTCCACTGACCATGTCATGCACCCAACGTATGTGTGTTTGGCCCAAGGAGAGACAAAAATATATACGACATCTTTTCTCCGCCTTTTTTTTCCCTCGAATTATTTGTGTCATCGTTGCGCAGGGGCCATGTTAATCGTTTTTTTCTCTGTATCGTTCCAATTTCAACCAATGTCTTGAAGGATCAAGCATAGCTTTCAGAAATTGGTAAATGACCAAATTGTCCTTCGGGACATCTGTTAAAATTCGAACGATACAGAAAAGATTATCATGGTCTCCTCCAATGCTTCCTTTCATGCTTAATCTTCGTCTCCTGAACCACCACCGTTTTCCTGCCGATTGTTTCCCACAACAATTCCACCACGGTTTCCATCTCTCTCTCTCTATCTCTCTCTCTCTCTCTCTCTCTCTCTCTCTCTCTCTCTCTCTCTCTCTCTCTCTCTCTCTCTCTCTCTCTCTCTCTCTCTCTCTCTCTCAACGCGAAGTCAACCTACACAAAAAAATATGTTGGTAGACAGAAATCCAAAATGGCACACCAACTTTGCATGCGTCCACTTTGTGGTCGATTATTTATTTATAATAATAGCAGTCATACATGCAGTGGTGGACTGCATGGAAGTCAGGTCACAATCTGCCCTGTCTCACCACACTTCATTGCAAATGTGACACATTGACAGCCATTGGACAGGAGCATCCCGTCGGCGTAAGGAAGCAGTGACAACTGGCCTTGTCATCGATACTAGAAGGTTCGATTGGTTTCAATTTTTTTTTCTTCTAATTGTTGTTTTTCTTTTTTTCTCCATGTTTTCCTTCCATCTCCTGTAGCAAACCTTTTACCTGGCGTAGGAGGAGGAAGGCTGCTATCCCAAGGGG